CGCTATCAATTCCTTACATCTTGTTCATCCTGAATATGCTTGGATTGATCCTCTGCCCGTTGGAATTTCTCTTCAGCATCCAAGTAAAAAGGCTAGAAAGGCACTGCAAGAACAATGTAAGAAATGAGAGCATGAATCTTCTTTACATGTCTGGCATTTTGTCTTCACATTTTTGTCTATTTCTACCTGTATTATGGACAGCTTATTGACTAGGCTTTTTCGACAGCATACTTTTCTTTATAAAGCAATGACTTTTTTATTTTTGCTGCAGCAGTCAGCAGTGATGATCAGCTGCAGAGATCAAGATCTTGTATTGATATTGAGAAACTTGAAAATGAGTTTGTTCTAACTTCAGCAGAATATTTGCTTTCACTGGAAAATGTCAAATGGACCTATTCTGGTAATTTTTTGTTCACCTATTTTCTTTATCCATACTTTCTTTTGGCCCGTCACTTTCTTTGGATTGTTGTCATTGGAGGAATTAACCTTAGATAGGATCTTTTGGCTATTAAATTTAAAGTGATTGACAACACAAAGATATACTTATATTTTTCGATGTCCTGCTTATTGTCCTATCGAAGTAAACGATTATGAGAAGTTTTAAGGGCCTTTGTTTTGAATTTTTATACAGTGAAGAGTTTGAGTGTTTGTTGTCCTTTTTAGTGTTCATTATTTTGTTCTTGGAATCTTCTTTCCAGGAGTTGAAAAGCCTCCTTCAGACTTGGTTGATCTCTTGGTCCATTCAAATTTATATGATATGGCCTTTACTGTTATCTTGAAGTTTTGGAGGGGTTCAAGATTGAAGAGGTGAAATTCTTGAAATAGGGTTACACAGGAGAGCATTTTTATTATATATTCTGTGGAATGTAAATTGGTTACTTTTGCTCAGGGAGCTGGAAAAGGCTTTTGCTGCTATGGCAATCAAATGCTGTCCAAATAGACCGGGCCCATTATATGTTGGGTTTGGTTCTTTTACCCTTCTGCATTTGCTTCCTCTTCTTTGTTTATGTATTTCTCTTTCAAATTCTCTTCCTCGTTACACAATTTAATTTTTTTCTGTAACTTTCAGGAATGAATTCCGAAGTAATAGTCTTCTGTTGACATCATCGGAGAATGAAGTGACTTTTCATGGTTCACCTGACGTTGGTCTTACTATTTCATATTCTAAGGCTACTGGTCAATGGGAAACACTTGAGGCGTATCTTGTTCGTATCTTCTGCTTGCTTCTTGAGATTTATATTCCAGTCAGCTCTAAATTTTCTTTTCTTCCTTAAAAAAAAAGAATTAGGGATTCTTTTAGAGAACTATTACTAATAAGAGCAGAAAAATTTTAGAAAAAGAGAGGATAAGGCATCGTTTATCAGAAGCACAGAAAGGAAAACTGAAAAAGAAGAAAAGAAAATGGAAATGCCTCAACATAGAAAGTTGTTCTATTGTGTTGCAAGATTAGATAATGCCAAGCTCTCAAAATACCCTGTGCTGTAGCCCATAAAGAAGCTAAAAACAACACCCTATCCCAAGTAAGAGTAAGAGTGTTGAGCAGATTTATTGAAACCTCTGGCTATGCAATCTAATCGGAAGACCTAACACCTAGCAAGAAAGACATTATGCCATGAAGTTTTAAGCTTTTAAGCTCCTTCCTCCTTAAGTCAACCTCTCAAATGGTGGAAAAGTAAAGGAAGCTTCCAAACTATAAAATTTCCTCAGTGACTGCAAAAAGTTTATACAATAACCTGCATGCAAACCTGACAATGTAAGAATGTGTGATTATCTCTTGAACTCTATCAAGGCAGCACACAAATATCGGAGAGCTCAAATTGGTTAGGTTTTAACCTTTTTGATCTTTAACCTTCTAAAGGGAATTACTAAAAACCAAAGTTTGAGCTGGTGAATTGCCTCTATAAAGAGAAGATTTACAAGCAAAGTGACTGAGAATTTAATGTCCACAGACAATTATTAGTTCTAGTCACTGGATGAAAAGCTTCAAGCGTGGTAAGTGAAGTTTAAATAAGTGGCCTCTCTATCACTAAGATTGGAAATGAAGTGAATGTTCCAAGAAAAAGAATCTTAGTACGTGATAGAAAGATATAGCACTGTGACTTGATTAAGATAATCTATGATGGTCCAGGCATAAGGTAAGCAATGGAGAGTCCCAGGAAGACCTTGGGAAGCTGTTACTAGGGAAACCAGTTATTCAAGATGAGGACCTTGGTTACCTGCTAGATATTCTGACTTCTGATCTTTTGTCAGTTTCTGGACAGCAGCCTTTTGTTGCTTGTTTATAGTGCTTATTTTCATCTTTAAAAAAGAGAGCAGGACGTCTTCCTAAAATAGGACTTTGGATCATCTGTCACCTTTAATGAAAGCAAAGGACAGAATGAGGAATGTCCCTGAGACCTAAACTTACTTGGGCTTTTGTGAGTTATACTAGTTCCTCCTTTGGTATGCAATCCATTCTGGTGAGTTTGCTCTTTATTATCCTGTGGCACAAAGCCACTGGTCCCGAAGGAAAATCTCACAACCAGTAAGTCAATAAAGTGATATTTTTAGTGATCAGATTCCCAACGACCAAAATCTCTTCACCTTTTGGCTTACGACAGATGTCTTATCGTGCAAGTGATATTTTTTGTATTACCAAACAGATAGGTTGAACAGTGTTTAAAACTACTTATAACTAGCAAACAAGTGAAGCTAAACACACTCTTAAATGAAGTCATCATTAAGATCTGTTTAAGTGAAGACCAAGAGTCTTTTGTATCATACAATGTGCAAAAAGGTTCAGTTTATCCACCTAAGCATTATGTTTCCAACCCTCATGAAGCCTCCATTCTGTTTATTTCTCATCTATGAAACTCAATTTGCAGCAAAGGTACAAACCAATTCATGCTAGGCTACCGGTAATTGTTGCTGAGACTCTTCTTCGCTCGGATCCTCAGATTGAGTTGCCTCTATGGTTGGTTGATATGTTCAAGGTAATTTTCTGATATGTTGGAGAAGCTGACTATATTTATAGTTTAGGTATGAGATAATGTAATGCATGTTTTTTTTTCGAATTGGTTTGCTGGACTAAGAATAGATTTACATGCATCTTTTACAATGATTGTTAACCATGACCCAAAACAGTGCCCATATTGTCATTTTTTGTTAAGATGATTTCATTGCTTCCGAGATGAGCTGAAACTAGTAATTACAATTATTTCTTTCATTTTTACAATACATGTAAAGCATTTCAAAATAATATACAAAATTATTAAACTTATACACCATGAATGCAAGCTGCAACCTTCTAGCTGGTACACAGATGTCTAGGAATTCAAATAACTGTGCAAAAGTGGCCTTTAATCTTACTTAGAAAGAGATCATGTTTCATTAAAAACAACTCCTCCGGTTCTCTAGCAGAGGTCATTATTATTGATCGAGTTTAATTTAAAACTTTATCCCTATTTCTTTTATATGGAATTGAGTACATAAATGGTGGAACTCTTAGTAATGAACTACTCATGACATAATCGGACAGAGGTTAAGGTATATAGATGAGATGGAGGTGAATGGCAATCAAAAGAAACCAATTAAAATTCCAGTGCTGCAGTAGAAATTTTATTGATGAGAAGAGAAATATTATTAAAAAGAGGAGAAAAAAGGTATAACAAGGTAGGATAAGAAATCCCTGTAAATCAGAATGTGGTAGTGGAATAATCTCTTAATGGAATATACAGTTGTCACTGCATTGGTACAATTAAAATATGTAGTTCATGAGGTTTCGGAAAAAAAAGCATAAAGTGCAAGTGAAGAGTACTATTTTTTTTTTCAACTCACATCCAATCTAATATCCGAAACATTAATCTCCTAGAAAAAGAGACATAACCTAGATGAAATGTCATGTTCTCAGACTTTGGATTTGGTTATTGAATGAGATATATAAAACAAGGGCTTGGGGCTTGTTAGAGCAAACCCATTGATCTCCAGGTCTAAAGACTCTAAACCTTCCTTTTGATAATTATGTTCTTCCCCCTTTGCTGAAGTTTGAATGCAAGTAAATAGAAATAAGTGGGCTAACTTCTTCCTAGAATCTAGGATAAATCAGTGTGATTTTAGGCTAAAATCTTATCAGCACAGTTTTAACTTCTCTCAATTGGCCTATTTATTTGAATAACTAAAAAGTATTAATTTCCAAAGTAGAAGATATTTAAACCTAACCAAAGACACAAAAGAGTTTAGAACGACTCTCTTTACTGTTTGCTTATCAATTATAACATTACACCCCTCGTTCATTAGGTGCCTTTCCCCAATAAATCCCTAGGGTGATGGAGATGACCAAATAAAATGTTAATGCAAAAGTTTTCAACCAATCTGATTGACAAAATCCATTTTGTATGTCATAAGAACTAGTGCATCTGCCTATCAGCAGATATGTCCCAGATGTTTTCAATCATGTCTGGGCCAGTGGTAACAAAATTCTAGAGGAATCATCATAGCCACGCGCAAGACTACACTGGAGCACCGAGTATTTCAACATAAGTATATGTCTTAACATCCTACATCTTCATAGTTCCATCAAGGGTAGCAGTTAGTACATGCTTGCCAGACACATAAGAACACAGCTGATTTGCGCATTGTGGCCCTTCATTTCTTCAAGAAACTGTCATGTTTTCTCCGTCATAGAGCTCCCGCTGCAGAAGTAGAAGCACGAGTAGAGGCAGAGCGCCTGAAAATCAGAAGAATATGGAGACTGTGAGAACAGTGAAAGACGTGTCCCCCCACGAGTTCGTCAAGGGATACGCCGCCCACTCAAACGGTCCGCAAGATCAAACTTCCTTTCATGGACTGATATTGTCAAGACTGGGAAATTCAAGGAGCTTGCTCCTTACGATCCCGGCTGGTACTTTGTAAGAGCGGCTTCCATGGCAAGGAAAATATACTTGAGGGGGCCTTGGTGTTGGTGCCTTCCAGAGGATCTATGGAGGAAGCCAGAGGAATGGCAGTAGACCTCCTCATTTCTGTAAGAGCAGCGGTGCTATTGCTCGTCACATACTTCAACAATTGCAAAATATGAACATCATCGATGTTGATCCCAAGGTTGGGAGGAGAATTACGTCCAGTGGCCAGCGAGACTTTGACCAAGTTGCTGGGAGGATTGCAGTTGCCCGTTGAGAGATTCAGCTTCACCATCAATTGAAAGATTTTAGAAATTTTGAATCAATCATGAGTCAAGAGTAGATATAATAGGCGTTGTGTCAGTTCATATTCAGGTTGTTACTTTCGATACTTAACGAACATGGTTTTATTTCTTCAAGCAGTTGTTGTCTCCTTGGGTTTCTTTGATCTTAGATTTAGTTGGTGAAAACCCATTCCAATTATATTATTGTCTGTTTTGTCTTCTAAAAAAAAGAAACCGTCATGTTTTGCTTATCCCATAAAATGACTAACTGATCATCAGATCCTAATACTATCTTTCAGCACTAGTTGCGCGGGCAATTTCCTTCCTCTCAAATGTTTCTGCCTTCTTGTTGGATTTCTTGCTACAACCATTTATGTCTTTTTTGGCACTGTATTTCTGCTAGTCTAAAGCTCTCTAAATAGGCCCTTGGTTTGCACACTAAAGCTTTCAACAAATTGTTGTTGGAACTACTAAATTCTCCCATAACCAGCCACTTTATTACCAAGTTGTTATGGTCCTGGACTTTGGATCTGTCTGATATATATAGAACTAGGATTTGTGCTTGTTACAGAGAACTCGTCAATCTCCCCAGTTATAGGATTCTAATTTTTTTTTAGTAATTGTTCTCCTCCCCTGTTGCTGAAATTAGAATACAACTCTTGTTTGCTGATTGCTTATTTCTGCTTGCTGTTTGTGGGTCCCCCCTCAGCCTTTTCTTTCATATGTTGATTATAACAATGAGTTTTATTTTAATGTTTCTCTATTGTGCTAGAGTTTGTGCCAAGGTAATTGTTGACTATTGAACTACGACTTGGTTCAGCAAACGAAGTTGTGATTTGTCTTTGAAAGAAAATGAAAATACAATTAGAATTTTTCTGATCATAAGGAATATCATTGTTCGAGGACCTTTGCAATAAGTGTGCCTCATAAAACCCCTCTTGACAAAACTTTGTTCAAGCAACAGAGTGGCCAATAGCCAGTTCCTCTTCTTTGATTTTGTTTTACCAGTTGCAGAAGTTAGGTTTAAATTAGAAAAAGACCAATAAGAGGTAAACCTCCCTGGTTAATTTGTAGCTTTGTGTTGCTTCCAGACAACTCTCTTCTATCATGTAAGCCTCTACACTTTTTTCCCTGTCTGTTGTTCCCAATATATATTTATCCTCTCAAGGCAATGAAGTACTTTGTTTTTGGCTGGTCCAAATCGAATGATAAGGTTAAATCCATGATCTTAACATCAAACAGGAGGATTTCTGCCACTATGGCCAAAGGCTCGAGGCAACATTAGATATACTTATCTCTTTTGTACTTTTTCTTGTTAAAGCTCCAAAAAGCTGTTGCAACTCAGAGATGAGTAACAGGTTGTACTGTCAAATGAGCATAGACAGGTTGAGCACGTCTAGAAATTGCTTCCGTTTTCTTGATGGTATCTGTTCATACAATTTAGTTTCTTGTATATCACCCATCTTAGTCATGTTCTTTTTCGTGTTTTGACAGGGTGGTCAAAAAGTAAGGACTTTTGGGATGACTGGGCAAGAATCAAGTCCTGCATCTTTGTTTCAACTGTATGTTGATTTTCATCGATATTCAGAAGCTACGAATTTGTTGCTTGAGTACATGGAGACATTTGCATCAACCGTGAGTTGCTGTCTTTCTTTATATTCATTTGATTAGTAATCAAAATTCATTCTTCCTAGGTTGTTTGTGGATTTTTTTTTAACTCTGTTCAGTGCATATCTATAAGCCTGGAACTGATGCTTTTAACGTATAGGT